AATGGCTGACGAGGGAACAGGACGTTTGGCGGGCGCGTTTTAAGGTTTGTAACTGTTGTAGGGATTGTTGATAGTCAATATTGCAGCAGGAATTCCTTAACTACAGCCTAACAATGTATGAAACAACAGTGATGTTGGCAAGTAAAGTAAAAGAAACTACTTTTCCAGTGGTGTTTTTAAATTCATTCCTCTGCCTCAGGCCAAACTTACTATCACATTATATCGTTTACTTTAGCAGCTTTTGTTCTTCACTATGCTGCCAATTAGCTACTTACACAAGACCTAAGCAGATAGATACTCCCAGTGCATTTTTACCACGGTACATGTAACATATTTACATTAAACAGCTGTGGATACTCTGAATAATAAAGTTTCCATCCAAAACAGCAGACTTTGTTTCATAAAGGAGCCTGCACAGATATGATCTGAAACAACTTAATCCACGAAACTATAAAAGGGGAGTAATGTAATCAAAGCTGGGAAGATCTAGGCTAGCACCTAACATCGCATGAGAGTCAAGACGTAATTCCGTCAGTCAGTTCCAGGCTCAAAGATAGCAGGGAAATTGCGCACAAACCGCGTGGGGGCTGAGGAGAGACGCTTTGCCGTTTTTTGCTCTCTTGGCTTTTCGCTGCTTGACCGCTTTTTTCGCTTATCACTAACCGAGACTGAAGAGCTTGATATAGGATACCTCTTCCCTTTAGTGTTGAAGCCTTTAGAGGCTATAATTACATAGTTATTTCTTGTATATGTGCAGTGATTATGTAATTTTTACACTTGGTAAATTAATAATATTAATGTACAAAAGGCATCTTCCACACCTTTGCGTACAACTTCATTCTCTTATTTTTATTCTTAAATGGGTGACGAAATTAAATTTGATTTGAATAACAAATTAATATTCCTATTATTGCCCTGAAGCTAACAGTAGTCCTCAAATGCTACTTATATAACAATTAATCTCTTTTTCGTTAATAGTGAATAATCAGACTTTTGATTTCAGGATCATGAGAAAGAGGCAAATGATAGCCTGAGTATCAGGCCTTCCTTAGGGGTGAGGGGAGAGGAGATTTCACAGGGGGAGGGTGGACAGGGCCAGAGAGAGGAGAGGTTGCTCTCCCTTCGGTGTCTTTTATTGTTACTTCTCTCATCTCCTTTCCCCCCAGAAATGCCTGATACTCAGGCTTGGCAAATTAATGCACTTGAAATTGGATGAAAGTGAAAGACGTGTTGAACATTTTTACATAATATTTCTTTAGTAAGAATCATCATTTCCTCCAGGATTTATTTATTTGACAAACTGAGTCAACAACCACTTAAATTTGGTTTTGTCACTAATTATGTGGATTAAGTCATTTTATATTAATTCAGGCAATATTAATAGCCCTTGATGAATTTAATTCATTGCTCTGACCAAAGCTGACACTCAAAATCTCAGGTTTTGAATCTTTTAACAGCAGTAAATTTCCCAGTAACTTAAAAATTCAGTGGAAAAAAACCCTGTGTTTTACTCCCTCACCACTGCACCACAGGTTTCTTTTAAAACTAATCCCTTCATTCATGTGACACCAATCAGTTGGCTCCATTAGCTGATAACAAGAAAGAGCTTTTAACACAACAGACAACTCATCATTAAAAAATACTCAGTTGAGCTGATAGTTTGCATAGAAAACTGTAAACGCTTCCAGTTCCAAGATTCATGGATAACTTTTGCAGGTTAAGAAGAAACTCTATGGGGTGACTATTCAACAACAACCGAATTGGAAGCAGTTTTTCAAAATAACCTTTGGAAGTTTTAAAGAATCTCAAATTATTGACACTTCTGCATCTTATCCTCTCAGGCTAAAATTAAAGATAGCAATTCTGAAAGTTATCAAAAACAATTTATACCCACTGCAATATACGCTACATAGATATTTTCATAAAGTTTCTCTGAAATAAATGTTAATTAACTAGTTATATATAAACTCTTACAAAACACTGCAGGCACAGCTCCTTTCTTCCTTTGATGCTTCATTAACTTCCACAACTTTCCCTTTCCCCTCAGTTGTGCCATTATCCTTTCCCGGCATATCAAGTTCCTTGCGCAATTTTGCTAGCTGTACTTCATGTACTTTTTTAATAGTCTGAGTAAATGCTTCTTCAACATTAGTGGCATCAAGTGCTGAAGCCTCTATAAAACACAATCCTGAGTCGCTTGCATACTTCTTGCCTTCATCAACTGGAACAGCCCGTAGATGTCTCAGATCACATTTATTTCCAACAAGCATGATTACGATGGAAGATTCAGCATGCTCTCTGACCTCTTGCAACCATCTTGCAACATTTTCAAATGTTTTTTGTTTGGACAAATCATAGACAAGAACAGCACCTACAGCTCCTCTGTAATATGCACTTGTAATTGCACGGTAACGCTCTTGCCCAGCAGTATCCCATACCTTTAAATAAATATCAATATTTAATTTGATTATCACCCATTTTCGTTGCATTCACTGGGAGGGGGCCATGGGCCAGGGGGGGTACTGTAGGAATTTAAGGGTGGGGATGTGCCACTAGGACCCCGGAACCCATAGCCTATACCAGACCTAGTTCAGCTCAACTTCGCTATCCTGTACTAGACCAAACTTCTCAAATCCCTCTTCATCATAGAGTCACTTTTTTCCAGAAACTACTTAGGTCAACACTTTCTATGTTATCAAACTGAGTTGTGGGCAAATTTAAATTTGCCGACTTCTTTGTATTGAGAGACAATTTCCAGTTTCCCTAGTCTAAACTGAAATCTTAAACCTATCTATCAGTTTCCAAGAAAATGATACCCCACTCTAGCCCCCAAATCTCTGACTTCTATACCCTTTCCCAGACTAAACTGCCTGAAAACCATACCCTTCACATCTGCTCATACCCTATATAATACTATTAATAGCCCATTTATGGCGGTACCTCCCCCCCCTCCCCCCCACCGAGACTATAGGGGCCTATCAAAAACAACAAAACCCACTGAAATAAGACAGTGTAGGAGCCCACTAATACATTAACTTCAACAATCAAAAAGGATCATTCAAACTTCCACCCGAGTTTTCCAAAAAACTCCCGGAAGTCTTCGGATGAAACTTAGCGTAAACTGTGGCAAATTATTTCACCAGTTACACAACATACCGGCAACGAAATATTACACGAAAATGAAACACCAGAAATAGAAATAAGGCCACTGTTTGTATACACTACATTCCGCTCATTATTTGGTAAATTGTTGATATAACGTCGATTTGTAGACAGTGATGTCACCTTTAAATGAACTCAGCTGATATCTTTTCACTCACCAAAACTGTACTTAAAAACCTTAAACGGGAAGCAGAAAAACAATTTTCTATTCAAATCGAAACCTACTTCCAAGAGTATTGCCTGGCCTAGCAAAGAATCATTTAAGCTTATAAAAGCTCGCGAATGTTTTTCAACGGAATTATTTTGAATCGAAACGCAATGTGTGTAAAATAAAGTACACTAAGTTCACTACACGCATGATTTAAGACTCAAAATGTTTACCGCTCTTAAGAGAAGCTAAACAAAGCTACAAGAAAATAAAACTGCATCTTACAAAAACGCAAAAAATAACGCAAGAGAAACCTCACCTGAGCTTTGATAACTTTCTCATCAACAGTTATGCTTCTAGTGGCAAATTCAACCCCAATGGTTGACTTCGATTCGAGGTCAAATTCATTCCTCGTGAAACGGGAAAGCAGAGAAGATTTTCCAACACCAGAATCACCAATCAAAACTATCTTGTATAGATAATCGTAATGGTCGTATCTACTTCCAGCCATAGTCTTAAAAACCAGCGAGATCGAAGAGTTTTCTGTGCAAAGCACTGTGAGTTCTGGAACGTCTATAACTATGCAAGATGTATCACGTGACCATAATTAAAATAACTGCACGTTCAAGCGCGCGTGGCTTCACGCGCGCTGATGTTTGTGACTTCTTTCCCTTCTTTTTAACAGCAGATGTTTTTTTAATTTTACTATTTGTCGTTCACAATTTTTTTATAATGGGGGCTAAAATTCTCACAAAGTAAATAGAGAAAGCATGATACTTTTAATAAAAGGTGTAAACTTTGACTGCTTGACTCTCACCAGTTCTGCTCTTCTGAAGGCATGCATTGCTTAATTTGAATATTGTATGTCTTTTTTCAACGGATTGGAGAGGCTATTCACGATACAAGCAACTTTGCAAAAAATGTCATTTAAGAAATATTTCCATCCCTCACCCTACCCCCGCCCGGACTGTCTCTTTAACGAAAACAGGAGTTGTACTGGTAAGGAAAAACATAGCCACCGAGCCTGCAATGGCGGATGATCTCTGTTTCTGCTAGCTGCAATAGAAAGACTGAATGGGAAAGCTGAACATGTAAGTCCCAGGACAAGAACAACTCGGCACATCAGTAAATATTTCTGGTAAGCCGGTTAAGACACTTACATGGACCGACCATGCAGTCTATACTAGCTAAGAAAGTCAGTTTTACGTAAGCTTGTGCATACACCTATTTCACTAACGGTTGCTTTGGGAAATGGTCATTGAAATACAGAATACAATGCAATGCTTTGCTTAAAAGTGACCACCAAACAATGGCTTTCAAAGACCAAAGCACGATTCCCAAAGCAACCTTTATTGAAATAGGTGTACTACACAGCAGAAGTGAACATGCAATTTGCATGCCCACTTCTGCTGAACGTAGCTGGTACTACAAAGGGTTCCTAAAAATTAAGGGTGGACTAGAGTAATCCTACATTTTCTTTGTCCTTACTCCTTCCAATTTCCAGCCTTAAATGAGAGACAATGCTACTTCCATGTTACTTCAATGTCTTTTCATCCTTCAACTCTAATCTTACAGCTCTGGTTTGATGCAATAATTTCATTTTGAACATCATATGCAATATTCAGGGTAATTTCAAGCCCAATGAAAAATCTCCTCTTATACTCCTAGCTCATCATCTGTAAAAGAATCCTTGAACCCAATGGAAACTTACCTTATTTTTTGTAAAGCTCACAGATTTCCAGATTGTTTTTGTTTTATATACAAACATTTGTAGTAAAAAAAGAAATCATGAATAGTCAAGACCTGGTGAAGTTATCAGCTGATAATGAAGAGCACAAGCAGCATAAAAAACGAACCAAGAAAATAAAGGCGCAACTTAAAGATCAGGTAATCTACCTGTACTTAATGGACTATAAAACAATGAACCTTAACCTTTGGTCACAAGCTGTACAAGAAAAAGGTTACTTCCCTACTCTTTTTGAACAGTAGTTTGGGTTCTTTTATGTCTCCTTCAATTTGACCAATGAAAGAAGGATCAGGAGAGGTGGTCAACAGCTTAACGTCACATCCTAATACAGTCAACTCTCTCTAAGACGGACACCTTTGGGACCGGCACTAAGTGTCCGTCTTAGAGAGGTGTCCGTCTTATAGAGAGTCAAATAAAAGGAGTAACGGAAAATCAGGGGCTCCCCCAACTAAGCTAACTGGGCAGCGGTGAGATAATTTGTTGAGCATTGTTCTTGTCTTCTTTTAAATAGATTGAGTTTTACTTTGGAGATGCAAACCTCCTGAAAGATCGTTTTATGAAACAAGAAATTAACAAGCACCCAGAAGGATGTAAGTATTCTTGAAATCAAAGGTGGTGATCATCTAAAGTTTTTTCTTTTCTTAATCAATGACTAACAACAATTATAATTATTCGATTTCCTCCTCAGATGTTGCCATTTCAACTATTGCTAACTTCAATAGAATGAAAAAGATAACTGATGATATGAACCTTGTTATTAAGGCCATGAAAATGTCTCCAATACTTGAGGTATGTTGTCCATAAGTCCACTTTTTAAAATGCAAGGTCTTGCTGGTAAGATGTTGAAAGTTCAAGATCTTGCCACCACAGTTGTGTGTTATGACAACAGACTTTTTATATTTTCAGGTCAGTGAAGATGAGACAATGGTGAGACGAAAAGCTCCTGTCCCAGAGCCAAGAAATGTTGATGCAGAAACAATTTATGTTGTACGTATATCAATTTGTTAATCTTAATCGTCTCTTGGGGAATGAATAGGCTGTAGTGAGTAATAAGTCCACACATAAGAATTTCATCTTAAAGCTTCAGAGTGTTTGAATCCCAAGCAAAACTCTAATGCATTAGAAAACCCAATATGAGTTGTTTTACCTGTGATGAAGCTCTTTTACTAGTAGGTATACAGTCCCCTGGGTCAGGAATCAGCCTCTTAGGAAAACATCTCATCCCATAAGACTTATCGAAATGATAGCTCACCGTCTTGTGTACTAGTTTTCTCAGTTAATTGTGTGATACATTTACTTGAAAATTCTTTTCATTTGTTTTACATGGTAAGTTAATGATTGTTTATACTTTAAATGGATGTGATCTTGTAGGAAAGACTTCCCCCTTATGCTGATCATGACTGGGTTAAGGAAATTTTTAGCAAGTATGGAAAGGTTGTTTATGTCAGGTAAGTCCTACACTTTAAGACTCCTAACCTCTAATTACCTGGATCTACAAGCAAAAATGTAATTTGGTACTGGTTGTTTATGTTGTAAAAGGCGGCTATAACTGGTAAGTTCATGTTCATGGATGAAACGTCATAGAGTAATGATCCAAATGAAAGCTACCAAGTAATACCTTCCTGTGGTCTGTTTATTATGCTGTACAAGGTTGTTATAGTTTTTGAGTCTGTGGATGAAACCTCGCAGTGCAACAATTCAAATGAAAGCTGCCAAGTAGTACCTTCCTGTGGTCTGTCTATTATGCTGTACAAGGTTGTTGTAGTTTTTGAGTCTGTGGATGAAACCTCGCAGTGCGACAATTCAAATGAAAGCTGCCAAGTAGTACTTTCCTGTGGTCTGTTTATTACGCTGTACAAGGTTGTTATAGTTTTTGAGTCTGTGGATGAAACCTCGCAGTGCGACAATTCAAATGAAAACTACCAAGTAGTACTTGTCTTTGGTACTGTCTTATCTATCATGCTAGATACATAGTGGTTCTAACTTGTGAATCTGCGGAACAAAACCTCTTCAGCAGTACCTTCAAGTGGTGCTATTTATTTTCTGGTTTTTTTTAAGAGATTTGTTCTTCCCTTTTATTACAACTTTGGATACTTAAAGAAGTAAGCATATTTATTTTTCTAACACAGCATCCCAAGGTTCAAACACACTGGAGACATAAAGGGATTTGCTTTTGTGGAGTTTGAATCTGCAATGCAAGCTCAAGAAGCACTGCAGGTAATTGTTATTTATCATTTTTCTCCACATTCAAGCAGCTTCTCTCAATCACCCCTGCAGGGGTATTTAAATAATGAAAGGTAAGGGCTCATTTACTATTAAACTCAGAAAAACACAAACAGGTCAAGACACATGAAAAAGCCTGAAAACCACAACCTACTTACCATTATTGTTGGTGGTTAGTTTTCTCACAACTGGTTAACTTTTTCCTTGCGACACAATTAAACACCTGATGCATTTCTAGCCAAGAGTTTGCGGCTTTCTGGCTTTCACAGTAAGTGGATCCAACATGTAAGGTAGAAACCTTGTCATTTTAGGCAGCAAGAAAAGTACGATCGGCTCTCTCTTGCATCAAAGTTTAAACTAACTCCCTCCCCCAAGACCGTGTGTCTTGGGGGAGAAGGGAGAAGGTTTAGAGAAGAGAGTTTTAAAGTGGTAAAACATCATTGATTCCCAACAGGTTGCTTTATACTTATGAAAACACTTGTACTCTTTTTGTTCACTTTTAATTTCCAACTACTTTGTAGGTTTTCAATAAAGGAGGTAAGACCAAGCAAGATGCGTTTCCTGAAGAGAAGACTGATAACTCACCCAGTGTAGTTCAGTCGATTGAACAGCAGAAGGTGTCAAAAGGAAAGAGAAAGCGATCACTTAGCGAATCAGAACTAGACACACAACAAAAACACAAAGAAAGAAAAAGAAAACGAACAATCAGTGATTCGTCAGACACTGAGCAACATGATGACATTCAACAAAAAACTGAAGACATGAAAAATAAAGACCATGGAAAAGAACGTAAAGAAAACGGTCGGGAGAAATCGACTGATGAGGGAGGTGAAAACGAGAAGAGTAAAAAAAGTGTCAGGTGGGAAGAAGGTCAACAAGAAGAAATTAGGGATAATAAAAAGAGTGAGGAAACAACATCAGTTGTAAGCCGAAAAAGATCGCATGAGGAATCTGTGATTAACGAGGATGAAGTTCAGCAGAAAAGACAGAAAATAAGTGACAAGTCTGAAGAAAGTGGCGAGGATGAAACTGCTGAGAGAAATAAGAAACAGAAGAAGAGAAAAAGGAAGAAGAAGGAAAAGAAAGAGACGAGACTGCCGCATTTACGAGTGATTTCCAAGTAAGTCAAGGGACCCATTTTGTCTCCTAATGAAGGTAGTAAAGGGTATCACCAGAAACTCATAAGTTTCTGGTATCGCCTAAGCTGCTGACCAATCAGATCACGAGAGATTTAACTGAAATGACTAATGACCAATCAGAGCACGCCACATCACACTGTGACATCACTTAAGTTCATAACTTCATTCCCAGGGTTCTCTCTCTTCTGCCCTCAACAGAGGAAGAGAGAAAATCCTGGGAATGAGGTTGTAAAGTTCAAGGTTAAATTTGTGGAGCAGAAGTGACATCTACTATTTTTCTAAGTTTTAAGTGTGCATGGCAGATGACCACTTTTTTAGGTAGGTTTTAATCTTCAGCTAGGGAATATAAAGTTAAGCTATGTGTAACAATCTTGAATTTACATTTATTTGATTTTACTGAAATGCACACGAAGATGCATTGTTTATTCTCACTAAGTTTTGTATGGTTTCTTTTCTTAAAGGTTAGAATGGTTAGAACTGAAAAAGGAATACAAGAACTTGCAACGGGAAGCCATGAATAAATTGAAGAAACAATTGCAGGAAAAATCCTCTGCTGATGGAAACAAGACTGAAGAACAGGAATATGTCAAACTACCACAAAATGGTACTACAAAAGGAAGAGATATCAAGTCCAATGAGTCAAAACAGGCGGATATACAAAAGCTTCCATATACACCGGGAGTTGTGTTAAAGTTCTATTGTAAAGGATCTGGTCTGACTAAAAGAGAATTGAGGGTATGCGGCTCAATCTTTGTATGTACAGTCTGTTCAAGAGATTTTACATTTTTTACTTTTCATTCTTGGTGACATTGGATTTAAGTAGCTTAACCGGACTCTTTCGATGAAAGCTTAACCGTCCATGTGAAGTTTACTGAGTATTGCGTCTCTCTATCTGTACAGATCTTATTGGGTGAAATTGTCCTGGCAAAATATAACTTAGACTGACCTGATCCATAATCAAGCATGGCTGCTTATTAGAAAGCGTTGTTATCATCTTCTCTTTTCTTTTCGCAGGACAAGTTTTCTTCGTATTCCCCGGTGGCTTATTTAGATTTGGCAGAGGGTGACGATGAGGTACAAACGATATTCTGTCTTCATTTAACGCTACTGTATATTTGTAATTTGTACAAAATAATAGCCATTTTGTTTTATATCTTGTTTACAGGGCCATGTTCGTTTTCACACAACAGAAAACTGCACTTCAGTTTTCACGGCAATGTCATCGACAAGCGATAAACTAAACGTTGAAAAACTTACAGGTATCTTAAAAGTGTAAATTCGTGCTTTTTTTTTTCATCAGTTTCACAGTAAGCATGAACAAGCATCATAGCCTTCTTTCGGTGAAGCACCCGTTGCAGTATCTAAGGGCTTGTGACCCTGTGGCGGATCCAGGGGGAGGGTCCAGGGGGTCTGAACCCCCCTATCAGACCCGACACGACCTGTTTGAGACAGGATCGTAAATCACGTTTTAACTGGCTGATTTTTAACTAAACCATTAACTCAATTGATGCACAAGGCTGCACAAGATTTCTTAAGCTATGTTCATATCCTACCGGATAGAAAACCGGAAAACCGGATATCCGGTTTCTCGCCGGCACGAAAACCATACCGGATAGGGCTTCTGTTCACATATAAGAACGGTGATTTCTGTAACGGAGCGAAAAGCGTCGCGCCGATCTCTTAAGAGGTAGACTGCGAGCAGTCTCTTTTTTTCTAATCCCTAAATAATTATATCGTGGTTTGCAATTGCGCTGGATGAGATAAAAACTAGACGGATTTTAAGAGAAAAGGCGGACTGCAAGCAGTCTATTAAGAGGAGAGTGACTTATCGGATTGGTGTTCACACTATATTAGATAGCTTTTGAGCCGGCACGAAAACCATACCAGATAGATAGGGGTTCTGTTTACACATAACAACGGTGATTTCTCTAACGGAGCGAAGCTACGCTGCGCCGATCTCTTAAGAGGAGAGTCGCATATCGGATAGGTGTTCATACCATACCTGGGTCCAGTTGTTCGAAAGGTTGATAGTGCTATCCACTGGATAAATCTCTATCCAGAGGATAGAGCGGTTTTCACTTGACTGTCGAAAGTAATTGAGGAATTGGTTTGGTTTTGGTTTTACTACGCCCTTTGGTTGGCTAGTGTATTTACTTTGGTTTTGGTTTTACGACAGTCAAGTGAAAACCGCTCTAATGCAATTGGTTTCCCTAATACTTATCCACTGGATAGTGATTTATCCGTTGGATAGCGCTATCCAACGTTTGAACAACTGGGGCCTGATAGCTTTTGCGCCGCCACGTGACCTTACCGGATATGGCTTTTCGTGTCGGCATGAACTGAAGCGATCCGGTCCAGTATAGTGTGAATACAGCTTAAGAAATCCTGTGCGGCGTTGTGCATGTTTGTACGATGATCTGTAAACATCCTTGTATTTAAATTTGCAGAGGAGGCTGAGAAGGCGTATTGGGAGAAAATAAATGCTGACCGCATGGTTAGATTTAATTCCAAGAGGCAGAAGAAACGCGGAACCGAAAAGGTAGGTACAGTGAAGTACGTTATTGTCCGCTTGCTTCTCTTAATATTTGCTTTCTATTCCTTGAGTTTTTTAGTATGATTTTAGCTCTTTGTGAGACATTTTACTTGTTAACTGATTTTTAGAAGACGTAGCAATATTTTGGCGAGAAAAACCTGAAAAAGTACGACCTGACATCATCGATGGCTGAAAAAGTCTCGCCAACCTTGAACTCGCAGCCTTTTGGCGTCTGGTATGGAAAGAAAGGCGACATCGAGAAACTATTTATTTTACTTTTGCTCCATTGTTTTTCAGGTGGCAAGAAAAGCTGAAGCCCTTCAACTGCAGCGTCAAAGCCATATCCGTTTTGACGAAAGCGAAGACGAAGAACATACATGAATTTAAGTATAGGGAGAGGAAATCAGTGAATGGAGGACTTCTCTAGGACGCCCTGGTGTTGTCTGTGTGCTTGATGCCATCAACCTAGGAGGCATAGCTTTACCAAATATAAATATCGCTAGTTTAGCCGACTAACCGCTGGGTTTAAACATTATCATTTACGACTTATCACGGAACAGATGATCATTTTTCCATAAGTTGTAGAACAAAAACTACGATCCAGCTTAAATGCCGTCCAATTTAAATCTACTTTCATAAGAAAGTACCGTTCATCATCATTCGTAAGAAGTCATCTAAAAAGTTTACCATATACTGATTTAAGAAATGCAAGTTTTATAAAAGGGACTAGGCAAGACGCGCTCTCAGATTGATAGACAGCGGCCATTTAAAGCAATGTTGTGGAAGCGCATAGAATTATATTAAGCCCCTTTTATGATAGAAATATTTGCGAGGGAAGAGATGAATCTACCTTCAAAAGTTGAACGATATGGCTGTGTATACATAGCTGTGAGTCAATTGTTTTTCCAGCTGTCTAATATAACGTAAATTTCTACGAAAGTTGAAATGATGCTCAGTCTCAGTTGAGTAAACAACCTAAGCGGTTGAAAAAGAACCCGAAAAAATCCAGGTCCTCTTTTTATAGTGCAAGAGTCAGGTTTCTTTATTGATTAATAACATGTACAAAGTTTTCTTCTTCAAAAGCTATGAAATACGCAGAGGGTTTCTTTTCAAACTGTATGTCCGAGGTTGAACTTGTATCTATTTTTCTACGGTGGAAAGAAATTCCCTCTATCACGTGTACGTAGAACGTTCAGTGAAAAAGATCGCCAAAATTTTGCCTCTGTGCATGGTCCCAACGCCCCCGGCCAAAGGGGCACTGGATACGAATCAGTGAAGTTTTACGGTGATTGGTACAAAAGGATCTCGGAATCATTAAGTTGATACTTTTCAGCGAATTTTTGCGCTTTGCAGCTCTGTGATTTTCTATGTTTTCTTTTCCTTTTTAATCGTTCTTCTTGTTCAAACAGCCCCTCTCTATCAGACCTGTCCCATCTGTCACAAAACTGTGAGTTCTTCAAACTGTTCCATATATCTCTTTTAATACAGATGAACACCAAGANGCATGGTCCCAACGCCCCTGGCCAAAGGGGCACTGGATACGAATCAGTGACGTTTTACGGTGATTGGTACAAAAGGATCTCGGAATCATTAAGTTGATACTTTTCAGCGAATTTTTGCGCTTTGCTGCTCTGTGATTTTCTATGTTTTCTTTTCCTTTTTAATCGTTCTTCTTGTTCAAACAGCCCCTCTCTATCAGACCTGTCCCATCTGTCACAAAACTGTGAGTTCTTCAAACTGTTCCATATATCTCTTTTAATACAGATGAACACCAAGAAAACTGTAGAAGAAGTAAGAAATAAGACAGTTTTCAGCTCAATGAAGGGTTGTAACGTCGGTCTTTGGTTCAGTGGGCCGGCATGTAGCGGTAACACTTTATCGGGGAACGTTGTAGAATTCAGCATACAGTTTATCAAACCTTGAGAACTATATAAACATATTGCCACAACTCTACGGTGAAATCACTAAATAGTGACTTATTATTTTGAGCAGTCTGACCCTTACTTCAACCTTGAGGAGAATAAACGGAAATTGCGCATGCCGAGCTAATGAGATCAAAAGTTTTAACTCATCGTATTTACATGTAAGTTGCACCAGTATGTTGCATAAGAGATTAACCTCAACTGAGTACTTACCAAAAATCAAACCGGCTGAAACCGTAGCCGCACTGATGATAACTGCTGTGGGTGCCTCTATCACCTCGTTACAGCTCTTCCATTTCCACTCTCCGCATTGTTTATTCTGTGCTTCTTCGTTTCCAGCGCTGTAAACCTTGCACAGCAGCTTTGTCTCACACCAAAAGCAGGCAGTGTCTCGTACGCATGTTTCACAGTTGTCCGCACCGCTACAAACTAATATGGATGAATTGTTTACATCCTGAGTGGAGATTTCTGTGGGCCCTAAATATAAGATTGTCGAAATGAAAGTGAAGAAAAACGCCTTCAAAATATTCATTCCGAACAGGCCTATTCGCTTCTATTATTCAGTTGTTTTTGAAATTGTTTTTATACGCGCGCTGCGTTCAAATCGTTTATTCGTCAGTTTTTGTAATTTAAATGCGCGCGCGCAAAGGCGCTATTAAAAGTTTTAAAGAAGGTTTTCCTTCTCTGGTTAAAAGAGAAGATGCAAGGAGCTTAGCAATGCTTTGCAAAGGAAAAGGAGATTGAAGCTCTCAAAAGTTCAAAATTACCAACTTTATTCTTTAAATAAACGTTTTGCGTTTCGTTTCGCGCGGATTCTAGTCGTCAGGTCCCCGTGGTGAATTTAAACAGTTTGAGCCATAAGAAACTGGGAACTAGTAAGAGATTCGTAGCACGATCTCACCAGGAAACAATGAACCAGTAATGGTCGCGTTCAGTCGAACACGTGCGCTTTCTTCGTTACGCGTAGGAACTTACTGAGTATTGCATCAGCAGGTGTTCTTAATAAGTGAAACATGATTCAACTGGGCAATATTTCGAGTAGCAACAGATGGTTTTCACAGTGACGTCATCAAATTGTAAAGTCAAAATAGCGAGGTTTTACGAATTCTTAGTTACACTAGGTTGAAGATAAACGAAAAATAAATCGCTGTACAAGTTTCCATTCCTGTAGCATATTTCATTCCGAAAATACAGCAATTTGATCTTCCGAGTTTTTACAGTGCGTGACACCAAAATAGGAATGGTGTCTCGTTGGAAAAAAGTCTCCCCTCTTGATTTTCAGCAGTATAACCATTAAAAGCCTTAGAAGATATGTTTATGCGCACGTATGCTAATTCTCAAGTGAAAAGAAAGAGCTTTTATAGAAAAAGTGAACACCAGATGTTTTTGTTGATTTCCGGCGGCCATATTGGTGGACCAAAACGGTACACCAATATGGCGTCTCCATAAAAAGCTCTGCAAAGGTGCATGAAACTTTTAGGTAAATAACTCAGAAACTGTGGGCCACAAAGTCCTGAAACTTGGACAAATCGTTTAATTTAGTCATTTCATTTTCTTGGCTTCTTGCACTGGACGGTTTCCAATATATTTTTTTGGTTGCGTGACCTTGAAAACGATCTAGAACCGACAACCAATCCGCATTCTACACGTTCGTTGTGAAATTAATAATTCAAAGTGGACAGACTGCAAATTATAGTAGTTGCTAAAATATATATCTACGTGTCGTAACTGTTCATCAGTAGTGTGCCTAAAGTGTGTGCAATTCCACAATTGGTTTGTACGCCATTAAATCCCATACCAATTGTAAAACATTTTAGGAGGAGCCACCCACCATGTGATCACAGTCACGGACAACACATATAAGTGAGGAAAATAACGCAAAGTAAAATTAAGACGTTATTTAACGAACTAAATGCACACGTCAGTTGAATAAATAAATAAATAAATAAATAAAAAATAAGTTGCTTTATGATGAGTTGGACTTCGGATTATAGTAGTTAAGCAGACTGATAGATATCCTGGCTGCCAGCGGTTTTCTTTCTCTTCTTTCCTTATTCCTTATAGTTCGCGTCGAAGTCGGGTGAGCGAGGCGCAAATTATCAAACCGTGCCCCCGGGTTGTTTCGTCCTAGATATTTCGAGAACGGACCTCCGGATGAGGCAGGGAAACTGATAGATGGTAGTGCAAGTGACTACAATGTTAACGTTTGGGAATGGAAACTTAGTTGAGCCTTGGAAACTCAAATGAAAAGCTTCGTCGTGCTGAATAATATGAGCTACCGAATGATTTTGTGGCTTGGAGTGACCATAAAAAAAACGCTGACAAAGCAATTTTTTAGAGAACTCAGTTTTATTTAAAATTGCTTTTATATTGTAACTGAAAGCATGTATTTGAAAAGACTGAATGGAAACGGATACATCGCAACTTACAGCTATTTATTTTCAAGTTCAACTCCCACTTCGTCGAAAAATTACCAAAAACTGTTCGCGTGCTTAGTTTTCTTTTTAAGATCAAGAATACTTAGTTTTACTGACTTTTGTCCATCTAATTCTGTGGCTACTATTCTATTCTTCCATGTTCCTATTTAGTAAACTGTTCCTGCAATGTTGTTTGTGAGATAACTCAAATAAAAAGAGAGCGACCCTTTTTGAAATGCTATAGTCAGAACTGTCAGATGCGAATTGGTAGAATTGATATCCGATACAAATGTAGGGAGGCCTTTACAATTGGAGTTTTGTAGCTGTTGAGCAGTGTTATTTATGGTCCATTTCAACGGGAAAATTAGGTCACTCGAAAATAACAGAGTGACGTATTTCACGAATAATTTTACAGTGCATGAAATTCTACCTGAAAATAACTTGATCAAGCCGGAATCGCGTAAGGCTGAAGAAGCGGAAATACTACTGCTATTAAACGAAGAGTTCATTATGACGCCAAATGTAAACTTTGCTCAGAGTTCTCAGAATCTTACAATGGAACAAGCAGAAACTGCCGGGTAAGAATTTCTAAAGTACATGGGTTTCATGGGTCTTTCATGCTTCGGGATGGTCGGTTCTCTTGCTAGCGCCGCGCGTAACTGGTGAGTTGCTGATTCGCTGAGACAAATAGCCCGAGTTCCGAACAACTGCAATAAGTTTGAATGAGTATAGAGAACTACGTATTTTTATTAAATAAAGTCTTGGCGTCTCTTTTCCTTTAAATCTTTTGACTAGAGACCAACTGGTATTGTCCTTTTCGACTTTTCTACTGTGCTCTCCTGACTGAACAAGATGACTAGTGTGTGATGATTTGGCTTTGTAGCGTTCGTTGAACCTCGCGCAACTAAAAAGGGTTGGGTTTATTCCTTTTTATTCTTTGAAGATCTCATTACGGTTCAAAGCTCTCGTTATGAGCAAGAAATCATGAAACAAATATAGCTTGTTCTTATTTTTCTGGGAATTATGTGTTTTATATGAGAATGAAAGTCGTGATGTTTCAGTTTTGATTCTAGTCGGCTAAAGACTTAACCATAATATGTAGGCTTAAGGCGCCGAGTCAATGCGCATTTCCATTGCTTATTAAAAAAGGTTTCGGTAGATTTATCTTTTAAATAACCCAAGTTTCACTCTAAGCCTATCTTGCCTATCAAAGGAATGTTATAATTTACAGTTCTTTGACTGAATCTGTTTATTTTTTTTTTCTTTTACGGTCATTTGAAGCTCTTGAAATATACTAGTTCCTGCTTCCTTTTAGTAGCTTTAGTAGCTCCATTGTGAGAGGGTAAACCGTATTGAGTGAATTCGTAATTCCTGTTCTCTTGAAAATGAAAGGAACTAGGTAGATTCATCTTACCACTGCGATTTTTTCAAAAAGGCAGCGGAGAAATCTACTTCAATCCACACAGAAGGATCGAAAAACAAACATGGTGTTTTACTTTCATGACACTTGCGCTGAGATATGAAGACCTCACGGGTACGCCGGACATGCCGGATTATCATTTACAACTTTAAGCATCCTGAGCAATTTCTATTAGAGCTAAATTTGTTTTGCATCATTTTTTGTTTGTTTGTTTTTTTGCAGCGTATGCTGATAGATAAATTGCTCTAGATTCGAATGCCACATTTAACTAGCCCCTGGGGAGCTGTGTGTGACTCGTGTCATGTACCCCGGATCATGTATACTGGTGTGATCAACTGAAAAAAAAAAACTTAAAACTTGAATTAGGTGACTGTTGTGTAATCTAAAGCGAACAGCTAACGGTGCAAATTGAAAAGGTTCTCTTCAGCAGATTTTTAAGCAAAGCCAATGCTAATGCTACTCGTAGTAGTGCATCGTGTCGGGGATTCCCCTGATAGCGACGTCATGATTGGCAAAACAACAATTAGTAATTCAATAGCTTTTGTCATTCGATAGTTGCGTGCTGGTTCAAAGGATATTTCTGGCTCTTTGCTGTTTCTTCACTGCTTCAAGAGAAGGTTTGTAAAGTTTCCTAGTTGATAAGAAAAGTAAGATAAGAATAGTTATATGATCACCGACGCGATGTAGAATTTGTAAATGTCTTTCTTCACAAAAACGTCAGTGTTCAGTGTGAGAATTAATTTCAATAAATTCAAGATGGCGTTGTGCTTGTCGAAGCACTTTTCCTAGCTTTCTCGGAAACCGGTTATAGTAAACTGCATCTTAGAAAACAAGGAAGATGGTTTGGAATTTTCGCAGTTTTAATCTCTGAGTTTTCCCTTTAGCGACTGGAGACGCTTAAAAAAGAGCTGTCCCGCCAAAAATCGATGAAGCTAAAAATACGATTTTCAAGCTCGGTTGCCTACAAAGACGACGATAAGAGACCATGGAACCCAATACCACGCCTCGGACCGTGGCTGACCTTCAGAAAAAAGTCGAGCAACTAGCCCTCGAGAAAAATCAGTACTTGAACGAACTAAGCAATGGAGAAATTTTAAAAATGCAACTCAAGGAAACGCGGAAAGATGCCAAACACTTATCAAAACAAAAGCATCGGCTACGAGCAATGGCGGATATTGAAGTGTCGAGGCAAGAGGTAATATAATGCGTCTATTTTTGTGTGTTAGTTTAAGCCTATATAACTTAGATTAAGACCCTTTTTCTCAATTTAGGCAAAAGGTAAAACCTAAATCCAGATTTCAAGATTTTTTAGAGACTGCTTGGCATTCTCCTCGCAAGATTAGTCAACCGTGAATGAATAATCAGGCTACTCCTCTGGTCACTCGTCATTCACGCGCAAACAAGAAAGAGGGACTTTTCGATTTTTTTTTTCTTTTTTGGTACGATTCCTGTATTTTGGTCACAAAAGTTCCCTTCAAATTTGAAATGAACGTCCTTTAGAGTGCTCTTAACAACTTTAATAACGACTTAAAAAATATGTCTCCGTGTTCTGCTCGCGTCAGTTTGCTGGGAAATCAGTCTTCCCTATCCAGTTTTTAGTGTAGGCGTACTTTTGTGAATGATATAAAGTCCATTTAGGTGTCGACAATTCAAACTTCTTTGTTTTACAATCCCACGCCACCTATAAGATCGATTCCTAAGTGCTGAGGTAACAGACATTTTCAGTGTACTTTTCTGTCATGTGAGCAACTTTTTTATCACATCATGGCTGAAAATATATTAAACGGGAAAAATTAGGGTCATGGCTTCGAGCGTAGGAGGTCTAGCTTGTATAAAATTGCTATCATCCTGACTTTAGCTTGCAAAACTGACCGGATCTCGTCTCGGCAATGCAACAAGATAATTTCCCCAGTTTTGTCTTTAAGTCAGTAGAAGCCGGGGATAGATTTTGTTTATTGACCCCCATACAAAGATTTGGTCTGTTCTGACAAGCAACCGATCGAAGGTAAGTAAGTCTTTGTTCTTCTTGAATCTTCATTCCCGAAGGACGTCCAGAAATCGTTGTTTCGGCCAAGAGCGATAAGCAGCATACTTAAACTTGACTTTCGTAACCATAGCTCCGTGCGTTGAAACATTCATATATACGTCGCTGTCAAAAATTCACCGGCCGCCCACGCACTCCGTCTCCGGTCGTAAGGAGAGCCAGTGCTCTATGCCAAAGGCCATAATCTGTTTAAAATTCACACGACAGTTTCTTGTCTTCAATGCGCGCATTTTTGTGGCTACCACCCTTTGAAAGTCTTTGAAAGTGTAATAATCGTTTGTTTAATTTTATTTAGCAATGCTCGCATGAATTCATCATGAGTTGGCCAAAAGAGCTTAATTTTTTAAAATAAGTGCGAAGTGAGGGGGAAAAATGGTTGATTCGGAGTTGAAAATAAACTGTTTAAAACAATAAGATAGTTTGTTACAAAGGGGTTCCTTTAATGATTATTTTTAACTACTGAATGCGTTCAAAGGTTCATTTTCAAGTCAAATTCTTTTCTCAGAGAGTCATATAATGTCGCTGCCACTTGGCACAGTGCCGTTATTTAGTTTACAGTGTTTTCTAATGTGACCGGATTTTCCCATCTATCACCTAAGAAGGAAATCGGAAGGTTAGACTTTTTTACCTATTGTTCTCGTCACGATCTTCTTCCGCGGAAAGCCCTCCGCCTAGTGGTCGCTGGGTAAAGTCCCTGTGGTCCGCCATAGGAAATGTAGCCTGCGTAGCAAGCGTTTCCGTGCTTTTTGGTTCTCGTTTCATTTCTCGCGCGGCCAAAACCGAGAATCTCGTTCCTCGGTCTTTCTTTGCTCCGAAACAGCACGGAAACGCTTGCTACGCAGGCTATGGGAAATGTGATTTCAATGGACTGAAATTTCGTGACAAAAGAAAAGAGAAACTCGAACGTTACTGGTTACGCAAGTTTACTTATTAAAACTTTCATACTTTCATGGACTCATTTCGTTCACCGCAATATTTCTGTGGCAAAAACTTCATGTCGCCAGAAGAGAATCCCACTTCGTAACAACCCGTCGACCACGACTTACAGCGACAGTACCGGTTGTACCCGCCCAATGGCTTGGTAGCGTGGTCGACCATAACACGGAAGTAACGAAAATAGCCAACTCGCCTCTTACGTATCTTCAGGCACATTCAGGCTTTGTTCAAGGCCTATATTATTGTTGCCCATGCACACAGACTGGATAAAAGCGCAAAACAGAGCATTTTATTGTTTGGAGATAAAACGTTTAACGGAAGCTAAATTTCACTTACTAGATGTGAAAAATAAGCTTCCCAAACATTGAAATTACCACTGAGATTTTCCGCGCATTTTTATAAGCCAGACTGCCGGTCCGGACACTGTCTCAGTCAACTGGCTTTTCAGTGACAAACACGTACCTTTTAAGCTGCATTTCCGCATATGTCGAGTCTGGTTTTACATGCAGTTGGGAATATAGTATGGAAATTTAGTACTATGAGAATTTAATACCCTTGAAGATATAAATTTAGAGGTTAATAAGCTTTTTTGGTTACTTCCGCGTTCTTCTCGAGATCTACTTTGTTTACGGCTATCTGTTTCTTTGGCTGTTCACCGTAGTATTTCAGGTCTCGACTGTTTCTCTTCGTCTCTTCAGTGGCTCAGACTAGCTCGTTGTTAGTGTTTTTTTGTCGTCGTGATTTCTGTGCAACTCAATCCTGAATGAGGAAAAGTGTCGCGGCTTCCTCATTCTATGTGGTTTATAATGTTGTCCTCGCCCAGTTTTGAAGCTTTACCCCTTGTTAGTGTCATCTGATATATTGGCCTGATACATAATTACTTGGAGGGTCCCCAACGGAGTAGCCCGCTCTATCGACTGGGATCAACATTACACAACCAGCATCGTAGATTCTCGAAACCCCTTATCCAACTCATAACTACAATCCCAATTCTCCCTCTCTTCAAATCAATTATCCGAAATCCTGACCTTCAAATAACCCAAAACCTGGAGCCTGGAATAGCTTTTGGAACCATGAGCTTGATGTAGAAAACGTTTGCCCGCATGTACCACCCGTTGATCTCCAGATTCAACATGACGGAATTAAGCCGATATCCTCAAGTTCTTTGGCGCCAAAAATTTGTCAACCAATTGGTCTGGTCGTTTACCTCATCCCACAGGGATCCCAAGGTGGCTTACAGAAACTGAAAGGAAATGCAAGCGCAAGATGTTCTTTGGTGCGAGTGTATGGTACAAAGCCATGTCTACTACCTTCCAGAGGAATAGTTTTGAGTATGGTTTTTACCTATTCAATCTTGAATCTCGAAATGGCTCAAAGGGAACCGTAAAAATCTTAATCCATTGACTCTCTTCATTTGCAAATGAAAGATAGAATATCAATCCAAGAAGCAAAACACGATTCACCTCTTGTGGTCTCTTTCTCAGACACAGCCTTTAGAAAGTGAAGTTTAAATGTTAAAGTTTGAAGATAGAGTCAGAAAATGGTTTATTTTGGTCACAAGTTGGATCTGTCGGTACCTAAATAGGTCAGTCCATAGGGAGGTAGAGTACCAGTCAATCATGATGATGCTCTAGGACTTCCGGTAGCGCACTGAAACAACAGCTTCCGCCTATGCCTATGATGAGGAGGAGGACGACGACGACGACAGCGTCGAGCGTCTGTATTTAGGCGGCCATACCCGCCCCTGCAATTCCATAAGTACCTTTTACGGTCTGTTACTTTTAATTGAAAAAATACTTGAAGTAAAACAAAGCTATTTAGATTCCGTATGTTTTCCAGTGGGAACTTGTGTGGTGTTTCATCTTTTCCATTAAAGGTCCTAGCGTTTCTCTTCTCTTGAATAATCATATTGAAATACTTTGATAACTTCTTAGATTCTTTTTGGGCACAGATCTTGGCTTCTTCATGGGTGACTGAGTTTTGCAGCTAAAAATAAACTCAGCTGCTTATCGCACGCATCGTATATTACCGGTGTTATTTTGTGCTCGAAGCGTCGACTGAACGAGACTTGTTACTTCACTTATATCTACCAAAGCTATCTTAGTAAGTTTGAGTGAGATGCCTATCTTGTGAATACGGTCGCGCTATGAAATTCATCTGTACAGCCCTGCTTTATTTGAGATTGTACTTTTTTGTTTTTTTTCTTTAAATGCAGCTTTCTAATAAATTCAATGCCACTTGTCATAATTCTGTTTCACCAGTAAGCGACGCAAACATTTTAGCTCTAGTAACATATATTTGTAACTTCTGATCATACGATATTCAGTGTCAGTTTCTATACTTATTTCCTGTTTCCAGACTTGAAGCTATCTATGAAACTTGTCAAATTCCTATTTCGGGCAATGTTGGCAGATTGGGACGCTTATAATACCCCTGTTTTATCATTTCCTGTATAGTACAGTGCTTGTGTCGTCCAATTAGCATCAGTAAACTGGGTATATGTACACTATCGAGTTACTGTATTTGCATTTTTAAAAAATGCTGGAGTATCGGACTTACAGAAATTTCATTTTCAGTCCTGTTTGGAAAATCTTTGTTATTCATGTAAAACGCCACCTAAATCACAAGACGAATTTTTTTGTTACCAGCACTCTCCACCCTGTTTAATACTGAATCTCTTCCGATACCAAAGCTCAGGAGCAAATGTGGTTTCTAAATGTAAAATTGGCAGTAGAAATAATAAAATACAAACTCTGTCCTTATATGGTACTCAATCTTAAGGTCTAATATGATTGGCTCCTTAAACAATACTCTCGTACAGTTGTTTAATCGTGTTTAAGAATATCGAAAGTGTCACTTCCGCCCCAGCGGTTTCTTATGCTAAAAAATTCCCCAAGTTTGGTTAAGAGTTCTATAATTACTCGGGGGTTTATCTTATTTTCAAACAAATTGAAATTCTAAATTTGGTAGAATGATAAGATGTTAAATCGTATCCTTTCCGAATGGGTATTTAATCGCTTCAGGTACGTTTGCAGCGATGAACATTTTTATCTTGCATAAAGGGCACACTGGGCTCTGGTGTGACATGGATATCTAGGTAACTGTGTTCCATATTTTATTGTTAGTTCCGGTTCGATTTAGTTTTAACTTTGCAATGTTTTTAGCAGCCACCTTCTTACATTATAGCAACGGTGTGTTTTTAAAAGACCCGCTGCCCTAGAAATCATTATCCGTGTAACATGTAACCAGTTTCCGTGTGGATATGACATCAGCAGGGAAATGAAAATTAGCCCATTAGTCAAGCTGCTTAATATCTGAAAGCGATTTCAGTTGTATCCGAATCACGCTGCTGATTTAGAAACTTTTAAGGATTAGGCACAAAGTTCACATCTGCAGACAGAGTCAAACTTGCTTGTTTTGTGACCGCTTGTAAGGAATCGTCACATAGTAAGCTGGCCTTCACAGTGTAGTGAGTGTAATTGAGGTTCATATGATTTGATACTGTTTTAAACCAGAATTAGCTAAAGCTTAACTTGTCTTTCACTTCTCTCCCTGCCTATTATCAATGCTTGTCCTTCAGATGCGACGTCTTTCCTTAATTTAACCTCCGTTTTATAAGGCTTATAAGCGTTATGACTTTCTGGTTACTTTCTTTACTGTCTTGAAAAGTAGGCGAGAAAAGGGGTGATTTAATTTCGACTGGTGTAAGTGTTAATTAATATTATCTGGATATTGGACTCGCTTGAAAATTCACTTACTATCATTCGAATATAATATTTATATCTGGAAAGAGTCTCCAAGTCCTGTCATTTCTGTATAACCACTTATTTTACCAGGTCAGCTTGTTTTATTTGATCTTGCAACATGTTCTTCTCTCGTATGGCCCGTTCTGTGGCGCTGTTTTGACGTTCAACCCTCTCCTTGCGGACGACTCCCTTAATCAGGCACTTAAGTCGTTCCCTGTCGCCGTTCTACAGTCATTTATTTTCTTTCTTTGTGAGATGGAAGATGGACATGACATAAACACGTCTACGGTTATCTTAGCGAGAGAGAGCGAGATGAGTGTAGTCAGTCTTCCATGGATTAAAACACATGCAAGAACTATACAGATTCGATTACCAAAAACAAAAGAGGAGCAACTGGAGAAAGGGGTCACTTAATAACTTGAGACAAAACAAAAACAAAAAATAAGCTTCAGAATTTATTTTACATTCTTCGGGAGTTTGTACAGATAATTCAAACTTTGTTGTGCCGTAATTATATTAAATACTTTTTATACGTATTGAAATAGTTTTCATATTTTGCCATGTCTAACAAATATCTAACACGCATTCCTGCGCAGCTGAAAGGCTTCTTAAAGCGGGCAGGTCATTATTTTTAGCTTTATATGGATAGCTGTGGTCATTTCAATCTATCTATTTATAATGGTTACAAAAATTCCCATAAGAATGTCATTCCTTCTGAGTTAATATCAGTTTGGTCTCCTAAGAATCTAATTAAACGGAAGTACGAGTTAAAAGGAGCTTTTAAAAACTTGTGATCTTCTCAGAGTTCCTCGGGAAATTGATGGGAATTAAATATACTCTCACAGTCACGCTTGGCTTCAACTTCCCAACCTCTTTCATTGACACTGACCATCTTTCAAATAGTTTATTTGTCCTCAGTAACTTTTGAGTCCATGTAACAGGTCGAGATCCTACTGTTTAACCTTTAAATAAGAAGGACTTTTACACAGCATTTACCAATCTTGTACGAAGTCGTAACTTTTGGGTCTGTGGACAAAGTCCTTTGTTACGCTGTTACCATTTAAATGAACCTCTTTAGCAGTACTTCACTTTGAAATCATTGGTTTTCAGTTTTCTGTATTTTACAAAATGCCAGTTTTTTTAGTTTCTAATTGGCCGCATTAAGCCGCGCTTCCTTTAACTTTTCCCTATTGACTGGCTAATATACCTGTTTATTGTGCTGTTATTGATAGAGTCCATCTTTTTCAGACTCCAGGACAGTCCCAAGAAAACAACACTTCTCAACCGGAGAAACAACTTCCTTCAGAATTAAACCTTTCCACATCAAACGAAGCATTCCCAGAACTGTTACCTCCAGGAGCCTTCAACTCTACCCCATCCAAAGAAGAGAGTCCTTCCTTACATTCCCAAGAAAGTTTTCCTCCACCTCCTCCACACGGGTTTTCGATGAATGGTGAAATTTCCCCGACATTGCCGACTGCTCCATTTGCAAATGTACCGAGGGAGCCCGACTGGAGAATACTGGACGCTAACGCCATGCGAATTGAAAACCGTGATTTGGTGAGAATTAAGAGAAAACAAGAAGAGCAGATTCAGAACCTCGTGCAAGAAGTTGCTACATTGGAAACAAGATGTAAAGAACTCGAGGGTATTGCACAACGGTAAGGCACCATTGCTAAATGTCTATAACGTCTTTCTCGTTCTTTTGAGGCGGCCTGTTTAGTCTGACAAGCTTACCGGCCTAGGTTTTACCCTTTTATTAGTAAACATCGACATCTTTTCAAATGGAACGGTGATGAGTCCAGGTCTTAGCCTGCGAGCAAGTCCTCTGTTTGGGGGATATTGTAAGAAGTCACGCTCGAGAAGCACGCGAAAGGAGACGCAGGAACGAGAGGGGAGTATGGAGAGCTTACTCGCGGTAGGCTATCGAGAATCTCGAAAAGTGGGCCAGCCCGGTTGATCGGACTCTTGAATACAGTCTCGTACTTCCATCTCTTCTATGACCTATAAGTGATATTTAACAAGTGTTGTACTACTTTGGAGTGACATGCCTTAACAACTGCCTTCTTGTTCGGTTTTTAGCCTTGAAGCCGAGAATCATCGCCTCTCGCAGCAGCTGAGTACAGCACATGTCGGTCAAGCGCGTGATTACAACGGACCGTATGAGGAAATTCAACTTCTGAGAGCACAGGTACAAAATAGCTCCCCATATACGCACACTAACGATTCTGTAATACCCCGTAATAAAGTGTCAGTGGAATGGGAAAATGGTTTCTTTATAATGGGGATACATTGTATCGGTGCTACTCCTTTCAGTAAGGGACGTTGATAGTTCGTTTCGCCAAGATCTTAGCTGTGAATGAACTGGTTATGTTGTAGTTCCACTATATTAAACTAAATTTTATTCACCCAATTGGTCTACAAGACGTTCTAGAGCTTTTTGACAAGAATGTGAGTTTAATAGTAGTTCCCTTTTTTGTAGTCTGCTACACAGCCGTTTTTAGTGTCGTCACGCAACGCTCCTCCACTAGTGGAGAGGAGCGTTGCGTGACGACACCAAAAACGGCTGTGTAGCAGACTACCTTTTTTTGCGAATGACTTACCACTTACTTCTTTTCACAGTTAAAAGTTTATGAAGATGATTTCAAGAAGGAAAGATCCGAGAGGGAAAACTTAAACACGCAGAAAGAACGCTACAAGCGAGAATTACGAGAATCTCAAGCAACTGTTGCTGGTCTGCAAAGGCAGCTTAAACAGGTTAATACTGTAGCGAAGACTAATGCAATTTTACCCAAATTTTTCTTTTCCCTTTTTAGTTAATAGAAAAAAAATTCATTTCTATCGACTCTTCCCAATTTCAGGCTATCGCAGGAGAGGGTGGCTATGCCGAACCACGTGATCTCCCACGTGGACCAATCGTCAACGAGCGTTACTATGATCCCTACACGGTGAGGCTCCCACTGGATTATGGGATGACACGCACATACTCTGGAGATTACATTGGTCCCGGTGCTACTAGTGTGAGTGGATCTTAACACATTACTATTCTTTTTAAGAGAAAGTAAACAATAGAATATCACACTGGATGCAAAGTTTAAAATCTCATTAAAGTCATCAACTTTTCTTTTAGGATCTACTTCGACGTGGAAGAGCACCTTATGTAAAGAAGGCTTTCTTGTCACCAGATATGACAGCTGTTGTCGATGATTATGACACCACTGATGGAAAGCCGCGCGCGCCAAAGAGCATCTAAAGAGTGGACAACGCGTTGATTTTTGAGTCGTATCCAGGGTTTCTTTTCTGCCATTATACCATAATGGCTTTCGCCAATCACTGGCGTGTACTCTGTCTTATTTGAGCAAGAAATTGATTTTACCATCGAGTACACATATTGATAAAGGAGGGCGGTTTGTTGAAAAGGTCTCGTGCGACTGCCGTGTAATACTGAACTACCGAGGAAAGAGGGTAAATCAGCAGTGATTAAGATATTTCAGTAGACATTTTGTGATAACTTTATACTACCTAAACTCCTAAAGTTTAAAAATTTCCCTATTATTTTTATGGCTATACCTAACTTTGGAAAATTCGTTTGCGCTTCGACAAACTTTCAAGGGGAGTTATTAATCGAAACTATTTTCTGTAGCGTCAAAAATTATATACCGCACGACCATCGGGTGCTTCTTTTTCATTTAAGTCAATGAAGTAGTAATGCGACAAAAAAAGGCATTTTATAAGTGCATAATTAAGATGCTATTGTATCACCCTTATAAGTAAGTTAAGCAATGTTATAAATGGTATAAATGAAATGTTCTGTTAGACGATTATATGTTGCGTATATTTAGGTGATTTTTGCAAACATAAATTTGGTAATCGCAGATTAGCCGGCGTCAGTATTAAGCTAATTATTTCCTCAGATTGTTTTTGTCCATTCNAAAATTATATACCGCACGACCATCGGGTGCTTCTTTTTCATTTAAGTCAATGAAGTAGTAATGCGACAAAAAAAAGGCATTTTATAAGTGCATAATTAAGATGCTATTGTATCACCCTTATAAGTAAGTTAAGCAATGTTATAAATGGTATAAATGAAATGTTCTGTTAGACGATTATATGTTGCGTATATTTAGGTGATTTTTGCAAACATAAATTTGGTAATCGCAGATTAGCCGGCGTCAGTATTAAGCTAATTATTTCCTCAGATTGTTTTTGTCCATTCTGGCGCAACGGAAGGAAATGTCTCATTGCCTTCTGTCTTGTTAAACGGAGGAAAGTAAATGTAAATTAAACATTTTCAAAAGTTTGTGACAAAGTTTGCACAAAGCAACAATCATATGAACAAGAAAAAGTTAATAAAATTGTTTTTACTTGATTTGTTTCACCTGCTCATAAATCCTCTCCGTGACGGTCCACCTCTGCTATCCTCCTTGGTCGAAGGTGGGGCACGCGATGTCCCAGTTGGGAAGGATACTTTGCTGCATTAGTGAGTCCGCAAAGAGAAGCGGCTCTGTCAATTCTATGCTTTCAATTCAACCGCTGGTCACTTACTCTAGTTTAATGTTTTGATGCTATTATTGGAATGATATTCCTTTATCTATACGTTAAAAAACAACTAAAAAATTGTTTAAAAGAGCACTTTTCAACTATTATCTTGCTCAGTATTAATTATCGCCGCACCGACTCTCAAATGTTACATTTTTTATGTGTGTGTGTGTGTATGTGCTTTTCTTTTTTCCTCTCTTTTGAATATTTTTCATATATTTTTCATAGTTTACAGGGTTTATACTTTTCTCTTTTTTTCTCTTTTAACCTAAATAAAACTGTAATTTAATCAAAGGGCAAGTAATTAGTTTAACTATATAATGCCCTCCCATTTATTCTTGTAACCTGATATTTAATTCTACAAATAGCATCTTTAATTCTTCAATCTTGTAATACAATATAAAAAGCTTGTAAAATAAATATATGGAGGAAAAAATAAACAAACAATAATGTGTTGTGCTGCTGAACTTGGTGGACGAGCTTCTCTCATGTCGACCTATGCTGTCTATTTATTAGGCAACAGTGACGTAAACGAAGCCTTGAAAATCAAAAGTTCAATTTATCACAGGTTTGCCCTATGCTTCCGCTTGTCAGTGGGCGGTGTTGTTCTAAATCTTAGCACCAGGTAGCACGCTGATTTCTGACGCACGAAAACTGATATAGAGACTTTTGAAGGATCCCTCTAAACAAAAGGCGGTAATTCGAGGTTTGGGTGGACAAAACACAGTAATTTGTGTATGAAATTGTCTTCCCAAGCCTTACCTCTTTTAAGGTACATGACCAAGGGCTACGCGCTTGGTCATTATTTTTAAGCGGAAGGCCTAGCAGCGAAGGCATCATCCTATATAAGAAAAAGGCATAGAAGGTTCACTGACATAGACATTGTTGAAGAAATTTTATTACAAACCTTTGAAGAGACAATAAATAAATTTTAAAATGGATATCATCTATGTGACCCTATTGGATATTAAGCTTCCAGCTAAATAACTCTTTGCCTATAGACTTCTCTTCTAAAGCGTCGTGTTTATCAAATCTTTCGCTTTTCCAAGAATCTCAGGTTTTATATTGTTCATGAAAACTAGGGTATTAGTAGTAGTAAGGCACAAAATTTACTACAATTCTTGAGGTGAATTACATATAGAAATAAAATTAACCTATAACTAATTTTATACATTCACTATTTTACCTGCTTTTTGTACTATGACCTAATTATAAAACTTTCTTATTTACATGCATCAAAAGCACGGATTTTCAAATAACTTACTATTGGCATCATAAATGGCCGTATCTTTTGTGTGACTATACATGAAGCGATCATTCCGTTCTTTAGAGTAAGAGTCTTTATATATATCTATGCTAATAAACTTTATGGTATAGTTAACCCCCTTTAAGTACCAAACGTGAACAAGATCGATTTCTCTTGACGATATCTATACTTCTTCAAGGAAAAATAGTTATGAGAATTAATAAAATGATCACCAAAGGAAAATGGGCTCTGATCGTTTGTCAACTTCTCTTAACTAATTCTTGAGATCAGCCTTGAGCACAAAGGCTTAAATAGAGTTGTTGGATTCTGTCTGACTAGAGTCAATATTTGCTAATCAGATGCTTCACTTTGTTGGTGGTCTGTCGGCATATCCCGCTTCGTGAACTTTCGTAAGCCTTCGTTAAATCTTCGTTAGTTGATCACTTGACCGATGTGCACCTACACTTCTTGCTATGAAGATACCTGTGCTTTCGAAACTTGACAGGAAGTGAGGGGCAGCGAAGAGTTACAGTCTTCGTGAAAGATCGCTGGGGCACACAAGTAGTGCAAGACTCGAACAGAGGCTGTTCTGAAGCATGGTTTGGGATGTAAAGCGAATTACACTGGCCATAACAAAAGTTGTTCATCACCTGGACTGGCAGACATCCGGGAACTTTGATTGTCTGTTTTAGGGGGCGTGTTTTGCACCAGTCGCTTCGAAGATCAGACTTTCTCATTATGAAGATTTCATCGTCGGGATTTGCTGTTAAACCATCTTTCTGCACTTTAGACGGGCGAGAAACAGTTACTCCGATCAGAAAGGCAAGCAGATAAAGGAGACTGAAAATCATCTTCTTTTCTAAATGGAAAATAAAGCAATCCTTAGTGTTGACATTGAACATAAGATTTGACATCATCACTACGTCTTCACTACCAATTGCCAGTCATCTATATAAACGTTTCGTTGGTAAATTTAATTCAAGATGAAGTTTGTTTGAAGTTGAAATTTATTAATTCATAAATACATAACATTTCGAAAACTGATTTGCGTATTTACGTTACAAAAATTAAATTATAGATCTAAACATTAACTAATCTATCTTAATTGAAAGGAATGAAAAAGCTAACAAGAGATGAGATGCGAAAACAACTTATCGAAATACAAGCTGCGAAATCGAAAACTCTGATCTAAAAGTTAATTGCTTTAAGACATGAAAAGATAATAAAGCTATTCTTAAAACGGTCGGTTTTAAAACGTGGCATATTAAAAGGTCGCGCCTGCCTTAATGAATAAGTAAATGTGTGCGGTGCATGTAATAACTTATAAAGGCGGTGATTGTTGTCATTTACCATTGTGTGAAAAAGTGACTCATATATTTCGTCATGGTGGGTTGCTAATACCTTAAAGTTCATAATAACAAGAGCCTCGTGATAGCTAACACCGGGGCAGATGATGGACATTGCTCTCTTCTGTATACCTTCCATTTCGTGCATTAAATATTTAGGCAAACTGAAGTGAAAGGCCGGTACTGCATAGTCCATAATTGATAGTAATACAACTAGAGTAGAAGAGCCCTAAATCAGTGCGAGTAACCTTAGCTCTCTTTAGTTGTACCAAAAAATATAATCTCTTGGAGGCCTTCTAAACAATTTCATTAATATGGAAGCATCGCCGTTAAGAAGATCATTTACGCATCAACAGAAGAACTTGATCGCATGAGAGCGCTGACGTTAGCAATAGATGAGGGCGGAAGCTTGAACGTTTTTCCTTGTTATTCTTTTTTTCGAATCTACGTAATAATTGGACACCTAAAATAGAATGCTATCTTGAGATTTGAATAATAAACCTGGACCTGGGTCAGGTTGTTTGTTTGTTTGTTTTCTGTCTATTATTAAACTTATTACGAAATAAGAGTGCAATAATGCTTGAAAGGGCTATAATTTCTTACGTGCGTTTTGACTCTGTGAAAAATAACAAGGATCAGTGATCAAAACACTAAAAATACACCGTTATGGCAACGATCGAATTTGTTTTTTGAGGGTGAACCCTTTTTAGAAACTTTTATGTCAGTGCCGCGTTCTAAATGAAACAAGCAGTCTCATTCCAGCCTGTCTCAGCCCCAAATAGCAGCACGCGACCATGCTACTCACGATAGTGAAATCTGAAATCAGCGGAAAATCAGCGGTAATAAACTTTTTCCCGCCAAAAATGTGAAAAATGTCGCTATCTTCGCCAGCGCGGACGACTGCCGTCTGCTCGAATGCGCCTTTTCCTGCTCAAACCTATAGAAATATTGCTAAAATTTCAAACAAAACACAGAACGCAGCACGTTTCTTGGCTATTAACCAGTGCTGTTTCACGTGAATATCTCTAAAAAGGTAAGTGTGCAGAGCTCAAAATATAGAGCCAACTTCTTGTGCCGTGTTGAATGTATTTCTAAGTTTGGTTTTGATTTGACTTCATTGGCGTTTCGTTCTCAAATTTCTGTGTTGTTTTGTCATTTTTCAGAGTTTAATACAAAACGGGATAACCTACAAAATGTTTAATTCTATGACTGAATTTCGCAAAAACAGATCATTTAGAACTTAGACCAACTTAGGGTTTAAATCAAAGAAAAGGTTTTGACGTAGCATCTCCTTTTTATGATTATAAGCCATCTGTATAAAATTGTAACAACATTTTCCTCTTTTTTGTTAGTCATCCCTCTCCTTTTATACTGGATAGATGTGATGTTTAAAAGTTTTCGTTTTTTTGGAAAAGTGTTAAAAGAAACTGCCTTGGATCCGTTTTGTTTCAGACATTACAGACTAGTTTTTGAAAAAGAGTTCTTCCCAATTTTGTTCTGCCCGCTGAATGAAAGAGAACGTATCGTAAGAGGGTGAACTTATATGACGCGTTTTGAAGCTGCGTTATTACAAGACCAAGGTTTTGTATCATAAAGTTTACATGTTTCTGAATTGCTTAAAAAAGGCATAAGTTCTTCAGTTGACGCGTTGAGAAATGATCGATTTTTTACAATGAATGACGATCAACACAGTTGAACCTATGAGTTGTATGATGTAGTTGTCTGTAAAGAAACCCAAGAAGAAAAGACTGTGTATGCTTCTGAAAAAGGCCGTTTTATGTACAAATATTGCCCAGAATTGAGCCGTCAAAACAATTGATTCAATACTACAACACAAAGTTCTCACCTGTTACTGAAGTAAAAAGCCTGAAGCGTTTAGTCAACTTTTCCTGAGAAAAAGTGGAAAATCTTGACATCAAAACTTTGAAGAACTTTGGAAACTTAACAGCTTAAAGAGATCTTTCAAGTATTTAAAGCATGGGAAGGATAGAATCACATGATTATGGTTATGTAACCTGTTATTTAACGACGATATCAGTCGCTTTTCCCACGTCATCACATGGCAGATATGCCGCGTAAATATTTCGTAGTAAATATCGTCTGATGCACGTCTGCAACGATCATACGACGTCACGACAACAAACTAACAGTAGTTAGGTATCGCAGTCAGGGATACACTACAACTTTGATAAATCTCCTAGCTCTTAGCTGCTCCATAGTTGGTCATAACTTCTGTTTCTTTGGGATATTTGATATTTTTCGTGAATGTAACCGCAAAACAGTTGTGTTCTCTCTCGATCGTGTTGTTAGGGTGGTTTATATTGCTTGAGTTATCTGAATGATTAGTATTTAACCCCTTCTCTGACGAAGTACGACAGTCACGGAATAAGTCAGTTAAAGGCCGGGGACTAGATTTTGATAGAGCTTGTTATGAAATTCAAAAGACAAATTTGAACTTTGGACAAGTATTATTTGTGTACTGTAATAACGTTAATAATGATGAATGTTTGGCGTTTTTAACTTAAAAAAAAGAAACACACGTAACCGATAATTTTCGCGAAGGAATTCCCAAGAAAAACCAACCAGATCATCTTTGCAGACAATCAATATTCCTCAAGCTGAGCACGCATTAGAGCAAGCTTAACAACACAACAAATAAACATTTTTAGGATTTGTAGGAAGAAAAAAAAAGGGGCGGCGGAAGCAACTGAAATTTAAGGTGGTTCCGTAATTATCGAAAAGTGCCTTGTGTTTCAGCATTTACTGAGCTGCAACTGGTGGCGAAAAAGAGACCAGAAAGCTAGAATCCATAAAAAGGTTTTGAAACATTAGGAAGGAAACTGAATGAAATGCACAAAGTAATGAATAATTAAGTATATTTCAACAATGTTTCAAGTATTCTGTTTATTACGAAAACAGCATTATATTCTATATAAGCTTATTATCTAGACTGGTAGTCGAAGAGGTTTTAACTAGACTACTGTCAATGTCCTACTACTTGAAATAAAACCATAGTGTGCGCCTATAACTGAAGAGTATTTAGTTTGTTAGGTTTAAGTTTGATACACAGTACGTTACCCGCAAATTAAGAGAGCAGTAATAAAGGTAAAGAAGCCGCAAACGCTTTAAAAGCCTTAAAATTCTGGAGCAAAGTTTTAGTAGATCTGATACTGGACTGATTTATATGAAGGTAAAAGAACTTACTTGAACAAGCAAACAAACTATTAAACGTGCATGCTGAACAAGGCACAATACTGCTCAATACCTTTTTACAATGTAACAGAGTTCAATATCAAAACACTGAATTCAAGAAATATTTTTTTCACCTTTAGTACGGCTGGAAGCGCTGGTTGATGAGGCCGTAAAGCTTTCGGTTAGACCTCCACTAAACACCGATAGTACTTTCCGCTTAGATAGCCTGGAAACAGTGTTTATTGAATTTCGGTTAAGGCCTTTATAACAAAAAATATGAACTTTTAATTTTACAAAAATCACCAAGAATTCGATCAGTCAAGCGTTAACCCACTGGTAGAAAAACGTTTTCTTTTTAATCATCAGCAGTGTCAGAACAAACCAAGGTTCAGAAGGTTTCCTTTGGATTGTAAACTCATTATCGAGTGCTGGCATAATCCCAATAAAGAAATTTTAACTTGAATAATCACATTTTAAGATTCCTTGCATAAAATAAAAATTATCAATCACTTTGTACCGCAGTGATATAAAGTATTGCCATAGCAAAGATCTGCTTAGCTTTGAACTGAATGGTTGCACTTTAGAATTTATTTAGAGACTTAATAGTCAGAACATTCTGGGTCTATACTGTGATAAGTAAAAAGTACTGCTGAAGATTTTCGTCTGTCTTACTTTAGCATCCTCGTCTAAAGGATCAATTTTAGAAACAACTTCCATAGCATTTAAGGATTTCATCCGCAGAATTTAAAAAGAGAACGAACCATAAGATTTGATTCTAGTAGCGCAAATACTTCCAGGAACTATAGCCGGAATCACCCATCGTTAATAACGTGTGTCTGCTGTCTAATTGCACAAAAACGTCATAACGCGGTTGCATCGCTTACATGCTCGTCGAGATTTAAACAGATCCAAATAAAATAATCACATCGCAATTGTTGTTTTTGTTAACCTTGCCAGTCCCTTTGTAATTCCGACAATCACCAGCACGGCGCCTTTTGACGCCCTTGGAACAATTCATATCGACGACACGAGCGGTGCAGAGCGGATAACACCTACGTTCGACATAAAATAGCTGAAACAGCTTCGAGTTGTGTGGCCATCTAAAAGAAGGTGTAAATTGTTACGCTGCACGAAGTAGAGACTAATTGCGGTACGTTAATGATTTCAACTCGACTTGATCAAATTGCGTGCTAATCTCCGTTAACAAGATATTTACTTAGATAAACGCCGTTTTCTCGCTCGTTTTAGTGGCATTGTAAACATGCTTGTTTTCTCTGCGGGATGTCATTGTTTGCACTCTTCAGTCAACTTTTTTCAGCTGTTAAATTCAACAGACGAACACCGAAGTAAAGCTCGTTAAAAAAAAGAGCATGCTAAGA